AAATTGATTTTAGGGTTCTTAGGACCAAGGACAATAACGATTAAGAACATATATTCTTCTTTCATACATTTCCATGGTGGCAAATTGTATGGCGTTACAATGATAGGCCACGAAGAATATTGTTGTCCAGTACTTACCAAACGGTTGAAACCCATCGATGCAAACACCTAATCTAACATTCCTAATTTCGATGCAAAAGAAGGATGTGTTTGGTCAAAATGTTGCCATGCGAAGGAGTCCGAACAATGACGCATGACGTTAGGCTCACACACATGTTGCGCATGCCATGTCATATCATTAGCGGTGGCATTTGATGCATACATCCTTTGTAATCGTGGGGTTATCGAAAAATAATACATTTTTTTGTAAGGGACAAATGTTTGTCTAATCGAACCCCGTGGAGGATTTCGATATCGAGGATGATTACATATTTTATAAGAGATTCTCTCGTCGTCCCGACCCCAATAAATCATGCAACCACTAATGCAATAATGGATCTTTTCTACGGGCAAACCCATCATTTCTATCATTTTTTTTGTACTATAAAAGTCTTCTAGCATATAATTATCGGGAGGCATCAACTCTTTCATAAGTTGATATAAATCGTCGTAACACCTCTCCGAAAAATGATGCTCAAACTTGAGATGCAACAAACGAGACATTGCGGATAATGGCGAATGATTTTCCGACCCGATCCATATTTCTCTATTCGATGCATCTAATAAATCACAAAAAGCTTGTGCAGAAGGGTTTGGATCTTCGTCCGTGTTAGACGGATTAAAAGATGGACCACTCGCATCCATCACCATTGTGTGGTATCGATTAACTTGACGATCATCACATATTTGTTCTTGTTCAACATTATTAAACGAATTGGCATTAATTGCTAAATCATTCTCTCCATGACGTCTCCACACATAATACCCGGACACAAACCCATATTTAAGCAAATGATACTTAACGGTATCAAGGTTTTCATAACTACGATTTTGACATTTTTTTTGTTTACATGGACATCGTATCTTATTTCCATCCATGCACTCGTGGATGACTAACCGCAAAATTAATAAATTCATTAACCCCTTCTACAAAACGCTCATTTAATAATCCACCAGTTAATCTAAAGTCAATCCAAGAGCGATCCAAATTCATTTTAAACAAAATAGTTATAAAGTAACCGTATTAATTGTTTATGTAATTACTTAAATTACTTTTATTACTAAATCTAAAATCTTTTTTTGTTACGTACAAGTTATTTTCTAAATATATAAACAACCTAAGTTTAGAAAAAAATGTTAAATACAACTTAATTATTTATTTAATTACTAACAATTACAAATATTTACTATAATTTTATTTTTTACCTATCTCAAATTTTTTTAAGAAAATTTTTTAAATACAACTTAATTATTTATTTAATTACTAACAATTACAAATATTTCCTATAATTTTATTTTTTATCTATTTAAAATTTTTTTAAGAAAATTTTTTAAATACAACTTAATTATTTATTTAATTACTAAAAATTACAAATATTTCCTATAATTTTATTTTTTTCTATTTAATTTTTTTTAAGAAAATCTTTTAAATACAACTTAATTATTTATTTAATTACTAACAATTACAAATATTTCCTATAATTTTATTTTTTATCTATTTAAAATTTTTTTAAGAAACATTTTTAAATACAACTTAATTATTTTTTTAATTACTAACAATTACAAATATTTCCTATAATTTTTTTTATCTATTTAAAATTTTTTTAAGAAAAGTTTTTAAATACAACTTAATTATTCATTTAATTACTAACAATTAGAAATATTTCCTATAATTTTATTTTTTATCTATCTAAAAGTTTTTTAAGAAAATTTTTTAAATCCAACTTAATTATTTATTTAATTACTAACAATTACAAATATTTCCTATAATTTTTTTTTTATCTATCTAAAATTTTTTTAAGAAAAATTTTGAAATACAACTTAATTATTTATTTAATTAGTAACAATTACAAATATTTCCTATAATTTTATTTTTTATCTATCTAAAATTTTTTTAAGAAAAATTTTTAAATACAACTTAATTATTTATTTAATTACTAACAATTACAAATTTTTCTAATAATTTTATTTTTTTTCTATTTAAAATTTTTTTAAGAAAAATTTTTAAATACAACTTAATTATTTATTTAATTACTAATAATTACAAATATTTCCTATAATTTTATTTTTTATCTATTTAAAAGTTTTTTAAGAAAATGTTTAAATACAACTTAATTATTTATTTAATTCCTAATTATAATTACAAATATTTCTAATAACTTTATTTTTTATTTATTTAAAAATAATTTTAGAAAATTGTTTTGATTTATTTTGTACTAACCTAACGCTTTAACTTAATGAACTAGGAATTACATAAATTAATAATGTTTTCAATAAATGGTGAATTACTTAAGTAAATTAACAATTATTAGCTACACTAATAACAATAACAATAACAATTTAAATAACAACATAAAATAAAATATAACAATTATATTTTCTAACAAAAAAATTTAACAATAAATTAAAGTAAGTAAATTAACAATTAACAATCAAATTAATTTAATCAACAATTTAAAAAAAATAACACAAAATTAAAAAGTTAACAATAGTATTCAATGAATAAATAATTAACAACAACATTAACATAACAATTAACAATTAAACATTTCAATTAACTCTCACAATTTACACTAAAATAACACACAAAATAAATTTTAATTAAATAATCAAATTAAAAAAACACATGCAATAAACAAAAAATTCAATAATTAAACTAGCAATAATAAGTAATTAAAATAAATTAAAATAAAATCTAATTATTTGACATAAATAAATAACTGAAAAAATTAATAATTGAAAGGATGGTTTAGATTTAGGTGGACTCGTCACCATGAGAAGGAGTGGGAGACCGCCGGAAAAAAGCCTCGCCGGAATATGGTCGCCGTAAAACGACAACTTCAACGAAGAGAGAAAACTTGAAAGGAGGAGGAAAAGAGGGAAGAAATATGTAGATTTTAAGGAAACAATAGCTTTGACGAGAGAGATCAAAGGATTGGAGACGAAAAAGGCGAGAGATTCGCTGTCGGAGGAGAAGAAGAGAGGAGAAGAAAATGAAAAATGGCAGATTTCGACCGACCGATATTTATAGAAGGGTAAAGTTTTTAGCGATGGTCTAAACCGTCACTAAAAGTAAATTCGAAATTTAATTTGACCGTTTCCCACCAACGGTTACTTTTAGCAACCCCGGACCGTCGCTAATTTAACATTGCAACGGTTATTTTGCAACCATTAAACAAATTACCAACGGGGTAGCGACGGTCCAAGACCGTCGCTAAACCGTTTCCCCGTGGCGACGGTTTAGCGACGGTCTATGACCGTCGCTAAAAGGAATATTTTGGCAATGGTTTAATAACCCGAAATCGTTGCTAATTTTCCTTTTGGTAACGAAATAGCGACGGTCTATGACCGTCGCTAAAAATATTTTTTATTTAGGGTTTTTTTTTTTATAAAACCGGTGGAAAAAAATTAAATAACATTTACCAACGGTTTTAGCAACGGGCTAAACCATTGCTAAAGGTACCAACGGTTTAGCAACGGTGGTACCTTTAGCAATGGTTTAGACCGTTGCTAAAATGGTTAGCCGATAAAAATAGCAACGGATTGGGGGACCGTTGTTAAAAACCGTCGCAAAATTTAATTTTTGTAACCATTTTTTAGACCATTGCTAAAGTGTGGAAAATTGTTGCTAATTTAGGTATTTAGCGACGGTTTGTTGACCGTCGCTAAAACTTAATTTTGTTGTAGTGATAGAGAAAGGAAGGTTTAACCAATTATAGATTATGATTTGTAAGTAGGGTATATACAACATAACGGTATTTGATATTACACCTAACTATTAAACAACTTTTTAAATTAGGACCAAAAATATATTCTAATGATAGATACCCCCTACATCATGTTAATCTTATTACGGAGAGTACAATAGGAAAATCTTAAATACTCATTATACCCACTTATATCATTAACAATATAGTTTAGATATAATCGGGTACTTATTAATAAGGTCACCTCACTCGTCTATAGAGATAATAAGTTTATAGACCACATAGGTTAATTTATAATATGGCATATTATATTGACTTTTATGTTGTTAATGATACCGTAATATTTTGGATGAACAGCTCTTATCATGTTGTAAGATTATCTTGGCATATTATTAATATATGGTAAGGAAGAGTGAATGGATCGACTTAAATAATTCCAATAGTTATCTCCCATGCATATACACCGTAAAGGCGGATTAGGTAAAATATATTCCCTCCTTAGCTTATGGGACTATTGTTGGTAATAGAGGGTTTATAAGGGATGGTCTAATTATTAGATAAATTTTTCCATCTAAGAAATTCCAATTAGCTATAAAACCTCTAGAGTTAGATAATCCTGAGTAATACTAGTTAGCCTCGTATGCGAGTTCATATAAAATAGATCGTATTAACTCCTTTGAATAAATATCCGATTATACTTATAACCTAATGGCTTCAGGTTGTAAATTTATCAGCCTTCATGGTATGATCACTCTAAAATAATACTAGGATGGTATTCCATTGCTCTTAATTGGACTCTAATCTATTCAAGGGGTAATAGTTGTATTAGGAAATACCAATATTTACAAATACCATCATTCCCCTATAACTAATACCTTCCTATATTTATTCTAGATATAATTATATACTAAATCAATAATAGTAACTTATTTTGGTAGAACAATAGTATAATTATATCAGCCCAATATACTAGATTATATAATAATATAATTATATTGGTATTTCCTAGTGAGCGATAAGAATAAATATGTTGGGATGTTGGTAATCTTAGTGGATATTTAGAAGGTATGGGTTGTTATTCCGTATTACAACATAATGTTGGAGTAATACAACAGGGTTAAGTGAGATTAGAGAGCTAATCCGATATATTTGCGCCAATAGAGAAATGCTTACCATGGGGATATGGTAGAGGAATATGTTGGAGACGGCCAACTCCAAAAATATCTAAATATTTTCATATATTGATTACTCCACTGTAGAATATTAATTTACAGCTTTATTATAGGATATTATCAAGTATATCCGATTCAATAATCACTTAATATATTGGTGAAGCCACTATACCAATATAATTTAACATTGATGTTTATTCCCACTATCCATCTTATCCTAACGAATTTGGGTGATATGGTTAACAAATGCTATTTAATTTATGTTAGATTAAAAGCGGTTATCACATGATTAAATATATATTAAATTGGCTGAAAATTAGTATAATAGATTTTCATGTTCATGGAAAACTTAGCACTATTATAGAGGATAGGGCCACCTATCCTATAATAAATGATAATTGGCGGAGATTAATTACATAGTAGGTTTATCCTAGGGACTTGCTTTATAATTAATCAGCTAATTTTGGGTACTCTATATATATATATATATATATATTGGGATAATTTGTTTGCATTTATCACCATTGAAGGAAAGAATACGACTGATCTATAACATATCAACCTCTAATTTAAATTATATCTCTCTTATCACCTCTAACATTATCCCAAAGAGACAAAATAGCCTATTTGGCTAAGCTATAGAAACAATATACTTGTTATAAGTATGTCTTAAATTATCTCCCCAGAGAGGTGATTAAAATAACAATTATATGGTGATAAGAGTATAAACATTATAGTGATAAAATCCCATCTTTTGATAAGGTTTTACAAGTATATTTCTCCGATCTGGTGTTATTGTACATGCAACGTTCTTAATGTTAGTTTAATTTGGTTAATATATTTTCTAGTATGTTCTCCCTTACCGACTTGGGAAGATGGCATAAATACTAATATTTCAATAATTTTAATTTAGGAGATCGTAAGTTAATCCATTGACTTTATATTAACGATATCCTAATAATTATCCTAATGATTTACCTGGAGAATAAAAAGAAAACACATCAGAGAATAAGAAATACATTCTCATAGGGTCCCTGCCTTAATATAACTACCATTCCTTTTATTCCATCTAATTTTGTCACCTTATAACATTATCCTCTTGTAAACCTAACCTAATAGTGTATTTCTCGGATAATATAGTGAAGGTGATATAATAACCCATATCTCACTAAATAAATGCACTAAATACATCTCTTATTAGAAATGTTTAATTATCACCTGAAATTATATTCCAATACCATTTGATATTATTCTGTACGAGCCTAGTGATGGTACACCAAGATTATTCGAGAGTGGATAGCTGGTTAACTCTCAATTCTAGTTATTTCTAAAAAGAGGCCCATATATACCTATCTTAGATAAATGCAGATATATATATGAGTGAATAATATTCATGATAATACAGTAGATTAGATTTACTATCAATACATGCTTATCACTTTTTTATATTTATTAATAACTTAGGGAGTGTCAATGGGTTAATTGGTTAACATATAGCATCTCGAGTCCTCCCTTTATAGTACACTAGACTTATTATTAGCCCTGGATGGTAGTCTTATTATTCTACTAGGCTATAAAATCTTCTTATTCAAGCTAGGCCCATAGACATTCTCCAACTAATCGAGAGGGGGAAGGACGGAGAATGAGAAAGGGAGAGGGGGAGGGATCAAGAATATTAGTATAATGCTAGTTAGGGCTCCCACTCTCTTCATCAAAGAGCATATATCAAGATGCTAAATAATTATAAGGGTGATATACATGGCTTGATCCCTCCCCTCTCTCTATTTCTCATTCTCCCTCCTTTCTCCTCTTTATTGGTTGGAGAATGTCTATGACTATTCATCTCTAGGACACAAACTTATTATTGGGCCAATAGCTATATACTTCCAATGATATCCTAGAGTATATGATAATATTGATTTGCCAAGTGGCCATTACAACTGTTAAGAATCAGTTCTTAAATGGTTATTGAATATGGACTTATCTAGCTACCAATTTGCCAAAGGGAGCATGGACTTATGTATTTCTTTATGATTTGGCAGAGTGTATCGTACATGAAAGGAGTGGAATCAGCCTATAAATTGGAAGATAATCTAGTTGTGTACGCTAGGAGTTTATAGGGTGATCCCGCTCCTTCCATGTACGATACACTCTCCCAATATTAATATACTAATATTTCTTTGGCCTATATAAAGAGAAAGTGAGGCCAACTATATACGGATTCTAAATGGGATACTTAACTAATCATACCGTTATATATTCCACTATATAAATTAGGTTATCTAACTATAGGATGATCAAAATATAATAGCTTTCATTGATTGATACGAGGCATGCCAAGTGGATCATAATACACCCCATTAACGTGATATGTTTGATTATCTTATAGGCTCAAGTAGCTTGAAGATAAATTATTTGATTTTAGTGACTAAGATTTACCGGTCATATTAACTAATAAGGCTCTATCGGTAATATTTATCAATCATTACCATGATTATACCAACCTCTCCCTTTTCTTTTACGTTAGGTAATCCATCTCTCTAATATTCTAGTTATGCGATTAACCATAGTTAGTTAATTCTACCTATAAGATCAACGTCTTATAGGTAACTCATTCTAAGCCATTTGTACCACCACTAATAATATTTAGGAGTAGATACCCAACTTGATATAGCTTATTAATCAATATTATATGAATATCATATGGGGAAACCATTTGTACGGTATTCTTTTTGGGTTATCATAACTGCTTATGGGATAACACTAGCCTTTACCATAATTATTATGGTCAATTGCTAATCCTCAATAGCCCTAAACATATTGGCTCCCCAAAGCTCTCCTTATTATAGCTAGACACATATTGGCTCTCCTCCCTCAAACGAATTTTAGAAACACTAATGCGGATAAATAAGTATCCCCACATTACCTTCCCTATCATATGTCATTTAACATAAGATTCTTCCTCTCACAAGAATACCTAGCAGGACTCGATGTACATTTGAAAATAATAAAGAAGATACTCATCAAATGGAATATATTTATGATAATAAATTTTAGAAGACATCCTTATATTATGAAAATATACTATGGCCTCTTTTAAACCCTAATGATTATCTATATAGGATAAGTTGCTATCGATAATCTTAAAGTTAAGATATCTAACCTAATATATTTATTGAGTGGCCATAGTATGGAGATACCCTAATCAATTGATGGTGATTGATGTAGTCATATTCAATAATATTGGACTAGATATAAATAATGGATATATGGCTATAGAATAATGGAGTGAATAGTTGACACTTGGTATAATAATTATACCTTAGTCTATACAAAGGGAGAGAATAATAGGTAAACTTATCCAAATTAGGATATCGCTCATAAATTGTTATAGCCATGTATCCATTATTTAAGGGAAACTGCCATTGTCTACTTCCATGAATCGATTAGAAACCTATTAGTTTATTATCCTTCGGAAGAATTTACCCCTAAGGCTCACATCAGCTAGGACAATATACAACTTGAACTTGTATACGGGAGATTGAAGACGAAACCATGTATAGGTAGCATATTATTAGGCACTAATATAGCTTAGCATATTACAAACGAGATATAAACTTTTTCCCTTCTCCTTTAATAGAGATGAGACATAATATAGTACATAGATTATTCTCTCTCATAATTTACCAACCTTTCGCCTCTAGAGTTTTATACATAATCTCATAACCTATAAAGAAGCAAAAAAAGGACTATGATACTTAGATTACTTTATCTTTCCCTCCTATCCGGTCCTAACCCTAATTGTTTCTATTATTAAATAATATGGTGTATAGGTTGATAGTTTATAATTAACAAATTTCGTAGTTAATCATTGACACCCATGAATAGGATTATAATATACTTGTTAAATTGGATATATTCCATTATAAACACCCTTTCCCCATTAGTTTGTCCCTAACTATAGGCTAATCTTGTATGGGATTAACTTGTACATCTTTTGGCGAATAGGATTATCCAACCATGAGTTTAATACCCTCATGACAAGAGGTTAATTGGTCTCATAACAAGGTTGTAATCTTATTCTCCATCCTCTATTATAATACGGAGAGAACGCATTGTTATCATATATAATAGGTCACCCCTTCTCATAGGCAATTGCATCCCCATATAATATTTTCACTCCCACAAAATTTAATAATTAATTGACCAATCAACTTGTTAAAATTAAGGGAGATAGTAGAATAAGTGGTATTATGATTGATATAGAGGATATGCTTATCGATAGTTCAAATAGTATATGAGGATTTTTTACATTGTATGTCATACAATTAATTCCTTTAGAGAGGGAGAACTAATATTGCTCCAACCTCGATGCTCAAATTATATCTTTTGCGGTTACCTATTAAAGATATGTTAAAATTTCTTATGCCATTTAATCCAATAATTAGAATGTGTTTATAGTCCTAATTTACCATAATTGATCGATCATAAAGTCATGAGGAGGCACTATTTTTTCACTTTCGGCCCTCCTTTAGTCTAATATTTAATGTCTCTTTAATACTATGAAAAAGCAAGATAATACTATGAAAGAGCAAGAGGGAGAAGGAGAGATAAAGGAGAGACAGGTTGAGAAACACGGAAAGCATATTATAATGGTAGTACTCACATTATAATGTTATGTCAATAATGTAAGTAACTTATATTCATATACACATTATACTTTGATAATATCTATAAGGAGGCAATCCTTGTTTAATGATATAGAGGATTAGTTGTTCATAAAGAGGATAAACTATTAACTATCCTAATTGAGTCGTCATATTTGTATGAAAAGAATAGGACTATTATTGTATAGCAGGAGATTCTATTAAATAGTACCCGAGCTGATAGGGAATAAGGAACTAAACAATTAGTTTCGAAGAGTTCTCATGCATTAAAAAGGTGTCTATGGATATCGCGTACCCTGTTAGTAGGGCGAATGAATATAGGAGGGCATCCTTGATAGTTAGGGCCATTGTTTAATCCTATGGGTAATAAGTTTACTCTCATTAGTTTTCTCAATGATATTATTTATCCCTATCCTTTTTTTATTGTTAAAAGACTCGAAAAGGTACAAGAGTGATAAACTTATTCTATGTAGGGGATATTATTTTTCATACATTATTGGAATATCAAACCCAAGAGACATCTATAATGGAATAAATGTTTTATAGCATTAAGAAATGGGTTATAACAAGTAATCTAGGTAGAAAGGGGTGACCTAGGGTTATGATCGTCCATAGATTTCTTAAATTCATTAGTACGGATCCCAAAATAGCCTATTTCCAAACAAGTCACCCCGAGATAATTAGGGCAGTAGTTGATCTATAGCTACGGTATAAATAACCCTACGATAACAATGTACCTTATCAATTTTGATATGGACCATCACTTTCTTTTTGTGCAAGATAAAATAGTGTGTATACTAACTTTAGTCATGTTAATAGTTTATCCTCCATATGAACAACTAACCCTCTATATCATTAAACAAGGATTGCCTCCTTGTAGATATTATCAAAAGGATAATGTGTATATGTATATAAGTTACTTACACTATTGACTTAATATTATAATGTGATTAATACATTATAATAAGTTTTCCATGTTTCTCAACCTATCTCTCCTCTATCTCTCCCTCTCCCTCCTCGCTCTTTCGGGATGATAATATTTGATTATAAGGGTATTACTCACATTATAATATTAAGACCTTTACGGACTAAATTAGTGATGGAAATTTCAAGCAAACGTGGTATATGATCTATACTGATTCAATAATTGGCATATACTAGGTCTCTTTATAGCCAAATAAGGAATTATAGTATTTAGTTACTTTTACAATGATACCTTATATATCCAACATCCTATTTAATTATGGGTGGAGAGAGAGGGATCTATGGTAACTATATTAACTTAGTAATAATATCAAAATAGTAAACTATACCCCTTGATTGAAACATTTTATATTGGTTTATTCATCTATATGATAGATAAATAAACATCTCCAAAAAATACGTAGAATATATGGGGCGAGATTATTCATTAGGCAAATGTTGCACTACACTAGGATGACCAATCTTAGAGAAAAATTGACTAATTATCTACTATATTATGTTATACCTCTAAACCAACCCATGGCACTAATTCTATTATGACGAATCCAATAGTATCCCTATGGGATTCTTGATTAGCTATAAGGAACTAGTGTAGTACAAAATCTACCTTTATGGCCTTATAATTCATTTTTACGTGTATTGTAAGCTTTTGGCGGAATAATCCTCGCTTTTTAAGAGCATCTATAATATTTTTACTTCTTGATTATATCAAGAATATATACAATATAACAAATGTAATTTTTATCTACCTAATTTAACCTATGGGTCCTTTATTATTGGTCAATTTATACTATTATGCATCTTTAGATCCCCTCTTTACGACTATATTTTATTTTCTATAAAATAAAGAGAGTAAGGTATTGGTTTATATTATATGAGAGGTCACCTTATGATGTCTATTTAATTATAAGTATGGATACATAGTTAAATGGTAATATAAACTAATCCTATTATTGAGGACTAATTAAATCCTAGTAATGATTTCCTAACTAGCAATGTACCTAAAATTATGAATTATCGGCCCTCCCTTCTAGAGTTAATTAATGATAACCAATTATGGAGAGATTAGCTTATAACCAATTAAATATTATAGTTTCTTTATTATAAGAACTTGTCAAATGACAAATTATTTATCTTTTATTGATCATAGGTGAAGTTCCATAAGGCTAACATACTTGTACCAATGTGAGGGAAAAATTAATGTGGAATACCCCATTATAGCATACCCTTATTGATAAAATCTAGTGTCTCATACATGGATTAGATAGAGAGATAGGATTGACCTATGATCAATAGGGATTTAACATTAATTTAGGCTCAACTTTACCAAGAAGATAGCTATTGTTATATGGTAATTGGAATATTCCCATGTTCTTATCATACTTTTATGGAGTAGTATATGGAATTAGTATCACAATAGAAGAATATTGTTTGGCCAGTTAACCAATAACGGATACACGTCCATCTCTTTATGTGATGTTTATAGGGTTCCCTCTCTCCCTCTTTACCTCTCCCTCTCTATCTTTTTCTAGTGATGGTCATAGTAAATTGTTTAAAATTACTGATGTTAACTACAAATGATTTATGTTGCCCTAATTAGAATGACTCTGTACATGTGATCATGCTTATAATAGTAACCTTGACGGCCTACTCAATCACCATGGTAACTAGGATATTACATTTTGATCATAGGTCATAGCAAACTCTCCCATCTAATAATATAAGTATAATGCTTAATGAGGGTATTAACCTATTGGGTAGGATGTTATAATCCAACATTTAGATAGTTAGTATAGATGAATATACCTCAAGTTAGAACCCCTTAATGATATGAGATTACCTATTTCATACAAATGGTTCTATATGAATCAGCTTAATTATGATTTTAATAAAAAGGATATATGAGCTCGTATGTTTGTTACCAAAAAATAGGCTAATCCTTATAGAACATCCCTATAATAGGCCGTTGTATAATCTAATAGCCAATCTTAAAATAGATGGAGATTTATAATGGTATTCTTGTATCTATAAATGTAGGAGAGAAATGGAGATGACCCATTACTAACCAATTAGAAGATAAACTAGCATAATTTCATATTATTGTTGCTAGACAATAATGCTTACTACTACATTATAAACTAATGTTATATATTCCATAAGTCACCAAGGAGATGAATTCTAGGGTAATATCAAGGCATTTTCTTAGGGTGATTCTCAATAGAAATGGGCCATACCAATAAGATAATTCCAATTAGCTAGGTCACGTTAATATAATTCTTG